GAAGTACGAGTCAGAGAGGATGGAGCGACGAAGAGGCACCGCGGCCGCGGTCCCTCCCCTCTGGGTCCCGCGGCGGCCGCGCAGCGCCAGGCCTCGCTCCACACGCACCCGCTGCCCCTCACCTCACGCTGCGGGAGCCTTGGTCTCCACCGCAACCCGAGCCTTCGCGCCTTCTAAGGTCCGAGCCATGTTTTGCCCCCGCCTCAGCTGGCTCAGCCGGCCGCCGAGGAGAGCTTCGACTGACTCCGCGGCCAGCCGAGCACTGCACGTCACTTCCGATGGTAAAAGCACCGCCCCCGTGCTCGGGAGCCTTGCGATTGGCTGGCGCGGACAGCCTACCTGAGGTGCTGGGCGGGGCGCAGGCGGGCCCGCGAGACAGCAGAGGGGAGGTTGCGGGCTGGAATATATGCCCCGGGGAATGGGTGTCTAGTCCCGGCCTGGGGCCTCTCGGAGAGGACACTCTGGGACCCTCTGGCCCGCCTCGGGCTCCCAAGCGCCCTTTGTTCCCGGGCCTTCTCTCAGCACTGCGCCCCGACGACCTCTGGCCTGCGGCAGCCTGGTCTATTTACAATCTTAGCCCCAGGCCGCCCGGAGATGAGTTTGGATTGGAAGACTGAAAAGGTCAAGACGAAATCTTTCATTCCCTCCAGCAGTTATCGCGGACGTTCAGGTGCTTCGAAGTTTGTAATTAGCAGCTCATCACAAGGGTCCTGCAAAGGGCGGGTTGTGTGCGGGGTTCTCACGTTGCTGTTTGCTGACAGCCTTGTTGAGGCCAGGTGAGGAAGGCAGCCTTAATAACAGCGCTCGACCAGACATCACACCCAGGCCCCATAGTAATCATACCTTTCTCGTGAGCACCGAATGGAATTGTGCTTGTAAAGCGTTTAGCCCTCCCGCTGTCTGGTTCAAAAGTGAAGCAGATAGGGAAATTATTCGCGTTTTACAGATTGCAAAAGAGGACAGTTGGTAACTACTGAGGAGAGGGATGGCAAAATAAACTGGCAGTGCCTACTTGGGTTTTGGGATGTAAAAGCTTATTTCCAACATTTTCTGGATAGTAGGGAAGGGGAGACCTCTGATCGTTTCGTTTAAATAAGCATGCCTGTGCTTTTGAAGAGAATGTGGCATCTTTCTGTAGTCCAACCTGAGGAGACTAAGGCAGGAGATTACTTAAGCGCAGCAGTTCAGAACCTGTCCCCCCCCAAAATTAAATAGTCGGGCGTTGGTGGCTCACTCCTTTAATCCCAGGACTCAGGAGGCAGAGGCAGGAGGATCTTTGTGAGTTCAAGGCCAACCTGATCTATAGAGTTAGTTCCAGGACAGGCTCCAAAGCAATACAGAGAAACCCTGTCTCGAAAAACCCAAAAAACAAAAACAAAAACAAGAAACCAGGGCTGAGACTAGCTCAGTGGCAGTGCACCTAACTAGCATGTGTGAGGTCTAGGTTCAGTCTCTAGAGCTAAGCAAAAGGAAAATCTATCCTGTGGTGAAGTCTAGGAGCAGTTTATGTCTGTACCACCCTCCCAGCCCCTAGCTGTCTACCAACCCCACTTTCCTCTGTACACTGGTACTTCCAAGCTTACACGCCCCAGAGGAATGTCCTGTAGCAATCTGCTCAGCTCCACAGCATTGTTCTGCTTTATCTTCTGATCAAAGGAGGAATTTATACACTTGGCAGCTCTTCTGCAAAATTTTTAAAAGGGCAAGGAAACTGGCTTTCTCTCAGGACTGGTTTCCTACCTTTTGCTGAATGGAGAACGGAGTGTGCCTTTTGAAAAGAAAATACTGTGTCTTATGTGAAGATAATCTGACATTTTTATTCAGGTCCCCAACCCCCAGGAAGGAAGAAATCTTTCTTCTGGATCCTGGTAGCTGCCTTGGTCTGAGTCAAATCCTTGTTGAAGTTGACTTTCTCATTTATTGTGGCTTTTGTGTGGCCTAACTGGTAGGCTCTGACCACCTACGAAGTACCAATAGACTGAACAGGCAAAGACTTAGGTGGCTTCCAAAAGAGACAGCATTGCAAATTGCTAGGTGTCAAGATGATGAGCTAGTAGCCCTCTCCTAGCCTTCCTTCTCTGGTTGACAATGACATCTGATGATGGTGGTTAAACAATGTGAACACAGACCGTAAGAGAGTGCAAACCATGCTGCTGTCAATTGAAACCAATTAGAGACTAGCTAGAAGCTACTTTCTCCCATTGGCTTCAGTTTTAAGACTTGAAAGTAGAAAGAAAGAAAGAATTGAGTAGCATTACATTTTAAACTGCTCCAACCTTAACTTCCCACAGAGAACTTTATAGCACCCCCAAACTTCTTCCAGTACCAAGTGAGAAATGAGGAACCTTTCTCTTTTATCATGTGTGAAAAGACTGGCTGACATTTATTGAGCATTTTCTGAAACCAGGCCCTGTTCTTGGGGCTTTGTATTATCTTACTGAATCCCTTTCACAACCTGAATGAAAAGGGACCATTATTATATCCTTGATTTATAGTTGAATACTTTGAGGACCAGAGAGAAAAGCAACTTGCCTAAAGCCACACAGCTATTAAATAAGAGTCCAAACCCAGATCTTACCACATAGACCAACCTCTTTAACATTTCACTGCCCTTAAAAATTAACCAAAGAGCTTTCGAAAAGGCCATTAATAGCCAGGCATGGTGGTGCACACCTCAAAACCCAGAACTCAGCAGACAGAGGCAAAAGGATCACCAAGTTGGAAGCCCCCTTGTCTATATATAGAGTTTGACTAGCCTGGACAACATATCAAGACTCTACTACAAACAAACAAGTCCATTAATAAGTAGTTCTGTTGCTTGTTCCTTCCATAATGCTGTATTCCAGCCACACAGGAAGACTTCACTGTGGGACTGTACTACAAAATTTCTAAGTTGTGGTCCCTGCTGGGCAATGGTGACCCACACCTATGATCCCAATACTTGGGAGATAGAGGATAGAGTTCAATGCCTAGGCTACACAGTAAGACTCTGTCTCATAAACAAATAGGAATGGAAATGTAGCTCAGTGGCATATCACTTTCCTTGCATGTATAAGACCCTGAATTCCAATTCTAGCTCCAGTTTGTTTGTTTGTTTTTAAGTTATGTCTGTACTTAGAAATTATTACCTATGGCAAATAACATTGACACAGATAAATGACACTCAGATTATTAAATTTGTAAACAGTAAAAGGATGTGAAGTTTATGATAATAAGAAATGTTTGTCTTAATAAAAAAGGGGGTGGGGCTAAGGAAACATAGGGAGGATATGCTGAATCTTTACCTTCTATGTCAAACACAGCTCTTTGCTAAGGATACAATGGGCAACAAGACTGTTTCTCTGTCCTCAGAGTTTGGAGTACATCGGGAACAAACACTAAATACTCAATTAAGCAATCACTTACACCCAATTGTGATAAGCAGTATGAGGGAAAATTAGTGTTCTCTGATTTAGAATGGAAAGCAGGAAGGCCTTCTCTAGGAAGTGACATTGGGCAGAGTAGAAATTACAGAAGTTGGGCATGGTAACACACACCTGTAATCTCAGCACTTAGAAGATAGAGGCAGGAGAATAAGAAGTTTCATGCTAGCCTTGGCTACAAAATAAGACCAGCCTGGCTTACATGGGACCTCATGTTTTAGTTGTGAGCCTAGCCTTTAACAGCTGGTTCATCTCTTCAGCCTGATACCCTATCTCAAAAGGCAGGAGGGACAGAAAGAAATCTGAGGAGGACAAAAAGAGAAACCTACACAGAGGGAACTGTGTGCAAAGACACTGAGTAAGGTTCAGCAGAGGAACTGAAAGGCCAATGTCATTTTTACAGTGGGAATAAGAGGGAAGTGACTTATTTCCCTGGTGAGACAAGCAGGCATCTCATGCTGGATTGTGGAGACAGTGTTAAGATTTTAGGTCTTGCCAAATGATAGTATACACTTGTAATCTAGGGAAGCAGAGGCAGAAGACTCAAGAGTTAAAGATCAGCCTGGGTTACATCCAACTTTGTCTCAAGACAGACAATTTGGGGACTGGAGAGGTGGATTAGTGGCTAAGAGTATGCATTACTTTTCCAGTTTTCAGTACCCATGTCAGGCAGCTCACAATTGCCTGTAACTCAAGCTCCAGGAGATCCAATACTTTTGGCCTCTTTGAGTAACCACGCACACATTGCATAAACACATGCCAAAACAAAACAAAATATAATTTACATTTTTTAAAAATGAAATTTTAAAAAATTAACTGGGAATGGTAGCATAAGCCTTTGATTTCAACACTAAAGAAGCATAAACAAATAGATCTCGGAGTTTTAAGCCAGCCTGGTCTACATAGTGAATTACTAGCCAAATAGGCATAGTAAGACCCTGTGGATTCCAAGCTTTCAAATGATCAGGGTTGTATTTTTTGAAAATTTCATGGAGTCATAGGAAAATGCCCTAGGCAAGGATTCAAGTAGCCTACTTTGGAAATTAAAATATCTGTACCTTGTACTTTGCATAAGACACAGTAAATACTAAGCCATCTGAGCTAGGGTTCCTGTTTTTGGAGACAGTCAGGTTGGGGAGAGGACTTAGATGGGTAGCATGGAATGAGCATTGATAGAAATCTGTACAAATAACTTTGGAAGCCCAAGAAAGATACACAGGGAAAAGGGAGGTTTGCTAGTTATCTGTGGCCTTCTTGTCTATTTACTCCCTAATTACCAGTTTAAAGGAACAAGCCTTTCATATTCATATTTTCTTTGGGTCAGGAATGTAAGCGTTGCTCAGATTGGTACTTCAGCTATCAGTTTCATTTAGTGGCTTAAATGGGGGTGGGAGACAATATCAAAGTTTACTTTATGAGGCAGTGAAAAGGCCCCTGCATCCCTGGGATCACTGCAAGTTTAAGGCCACTGGATTATCTAACAAGTTCTAGAAAAGCCAGGAATATATATATCAAGACCTTGTCTCAAAAACAGCAAGGTGTAAGAGAACAAGACTATGTGAGGAAACCAGTATTTTTGTGGTATCTTGTCACTTCTATACTGTTTTCCTTATGAGTGGATAAGCATGGTCCATATTCAATGGAAGCAAGAACACTCAAAAGTGGGAAAACCAGGAGGGGATTATGATTATTGGGGTTCAACAAGTGTTCTTAACCACTGAGCCATCTCTCAAATTTCTTCTTACATTTAAGGACATCAGTTTATCTTGACTCTTTCCACAAAGGTCCTATTCACAAATAAGCATGCTTTCTAAGACCTTTAAGTGTAGCGCTGCATATATGA